GGGGGGGGAATCCAGGTTTCCCCCCACTTTAGTTCAGTCCACACACCATCCTGCTGGCTGCGATGCCAGGACTCCTGCTCTGGTGTTAAGCTGGTCATTTTAACCATTTTCTCTCTCTTTTAAAGGAAGAGAGCGGTGAGGGGAGGGGGGGGCGCTTTTCACCTCTTCACAAGTTTGCAAAGCAACCTGCAAAGTTTTTATTCTGCCTCTCTCAGGGCAAGCCCAGCGCACGCCGGCCGGCGCAGGACTTCATTTCATCGTGCAGCCCCCGCATGCAGGATGCCGTGCCGGCAAGGCTGCAGGCTCCCCTTCCCGACGGGAGCACGTGCGTGTCCGTCAGTCCACGGCACGCGATCTAATTCCTTGCACGGATTCACTCCTTCAAACTGCTTATCTGACAGGATTTTGCTAGCGAGAGACAGCGAGTGACACGCTCTAAATTCATTTAGCTCGCGGACCTGCTCTTCCGTTGTTATCTCCCCGAGTATTATCGGAGCAAGCTTCATTTCCATGCCTAGTTTATACTGATAAAGGGGAGAGATCCATAAAACACTCACGAAGGATGTCTCCGATTGCATGATACTGCCAGGGACCGTGTTCCCCCCCACGCCCCAAAATTCAATGCACATTTCCACCATACACACACGCGTGTGCACTTCCACCTCCAGCGCTTGTGCCGTATGGAAAGCCACAACGAGGAGACCTGGAACAATGACGGCAGCTGCAAGGCACGGAGGGTAATTTGGGGGCGACGAAGGGGGTCCGAGGGAGAAGAGCGCGCAAGAAACGCCCGGGCTCCACTCTCGGTGGGAATCGTCCCACCCTCGTGAACGCCGACATAAAAGACACACTCGCAGCATATTTCAAAACCAAAGAGCGAGGGATTTACAAGGCAGGTTGATTTTATGATGACTTTTATTGAAAAGGTACGCTGGGTTTAGGCAGATGCCTTTTAGCGCCGGTAAGTTAACACAGTGCCTAATTCAAGGAGACAGCCTGAGGAAGCAGTGCCGACAGGGGAGAGCGAGCCACAATGTCTCTATTACTCTCCTCGGCATCATAAAGAGGAGAAGAAAAATCATCTCGGAAGGGGGAGAGGGGAAGGCGTGCTGCAGGTTTCTGTGCCGCGTGTCCGTCTGGGTATATACAGAGATACAGATAATATTATTCAAGGGGCAACAAGGAGAACATGCACCAGAACAAACAAAGCAGCCCAGGTAAAAACAGTCCCTCCCTGGCATCTGCACGGCACATCTGGGCTCCAGCTAAACGACTGCTGCCGGCGGGACCTCGCGGCTCTGCCTTCCACCGACCGGGTCAGACAAACCCGCCAGCCTCGCACGCGGGGAGGGCAGCGGGGCAGCTCTTCCCGGCTGCACGGGAGATCGTGCCAGGGACAAGCCGGCCGGAGAGCAGAGACATGACGGCGTTTTGCCGCGGCCGAGTTAGCTCCCATTCAATCATGGGGCTGGGAAAGGGCGGATCACCTTTCACTGGTCATTTGAAGGGGGGAAAGAGAGAGAAGAGGAAGTGCATGGCCTATTTCAGGAGCCAATTTATTGAATCAGAACGGCATACTCTGCCGTCCCTCTCCGGGAGAGACCCTGATTGCCAGAAACGCTCTTCGACTGAATACAGAACGAGGTCCCTTTGCAAAGTCCAAGGCATTAGATGCAAGAACTGCACGCGTTTGCACAATCGAGCTCCCCGACTAGTTCCTGGTTGTGCACCCCACCGTGCCCATGCACACGCGCACCAGAGGCTCTCTCCCTGCTTCTGCCTGGGTTTAAACGTCCCCCTTTAAAAGCACAGAGAACAGGGAGCAGGGCCTCCTCCGAACGCACCTGACCCCACAACCCAGCAACGTCCGCTGGCGGGGTGGGAAAGGCAAGGCAACTTGTAATGCTGTAGCTCAGGTGGACGGCACGGCCGTCCCCCCGCTCCGCCAGCAGCACCACCGCTTTGCAGAGCAACACACCTGTTGAGCGCCAGGCTCGGCGAAGCGAAGCCGAAAGAGGTAACGGAGGTACTTACATCTGTCGTTCCGGTCTTCGGGGCTGGACGAGGTCTCCCGGTCAGATATGAGGCCCGAGACGGCGAAGATCTTTTTCCCCGTGTCGTCGACTTTGAGCGACCCGGGGGAGCTGGAGGGGAGCTGCGTGCCAAACTCGTACTCCTTGCCCTCGGCGTCCGAGAAGCGCAGATGGGGCGAGTCGGTGTCGTGGCAGTTTTTCAGGCGCTTGGCCGGGGTGAAGGCCGACTGGTAGCTCTCCCGGTCTTCGGTGGAAGCAAAGGGGCGGAAAGCGCCAACGCCGCTGTGGTTCAACATGCTGATCGGGGTGCAGTCCAGGTTGGGGGGCGCAAACTGGGGGTGGAGGTGCAGCAAGGAAGGGGGAAAGTCACGGTTCGCAAAGGCACCGGGCACCCCACCTTGCCGGTGATACATGGAGGCAAACGTGTAGGAGCCATTGGTAAAGGGGATGTGCACGTCTTTATCCACCGACACCGGGACGCCGAAGGGTCTCGGCTGCTGGCAGGGGATGGACGCGTCGCGGCTGGCTTCGGCGGTGGAGGCGAGGACCATCAGCGCCGGAGACGCCAGCGGGTTGGGAAGATAGGACGAGTTCTCCATCTTGAAGGCTGCCCGGTGTAAGTCCATCGGAGTCTCTTGGCTCAGCAGGGTCACAGAGGGAACGATCTTCCCCGGCAGGAAAGCGAAGCGACGCCTGGACGGAGAGCGGGGGAATCACTGGGGCATCATCACGGCACCCAACCTGCAGAGACACCAGGGAAGAGAAAGCACAAGCGGTCAGGCCTCCGCACGCCCCTCTCCCAGGCGCGGCAGGCCACGCGCCTTCGCCCCAACTGGCCAGCAACGCGCCACTGTGCTCATTCAGGGAAAATCAATAGACAACTTCACACCCGGCTGGACCCGACAGCAGCCCCCCGCACCACGGGGGTGTAGCCCAAAAGGGGCAAGCCGCGGGCCAAAAAAATCCTGCCCTGGAAATTAATACAGACGGGTCTGTTTGGAATAGCCGGATCCACGCATGCCAACCACCTCCGGGCAATCGCAAATGAAGATATCATTCGTCAGGAAACCCGATTACAATTGTATAGGTATGCACACGCAGAATTACAATGCAAGTGCATATGCCCAGGCACAGCAGTGAATTTACTATTTGCACGCACACTCTCACGTAAGAACAAACACTCTCTGTTGCGCAGATTGGCACAAACACACAAGTGTTTCTGCAGCACGCCATGCCTCTGGCGTGTGTGTAATACATCCATATTTACACACACACACGTAGATGCGTGCCCACACACAAAAAGGGCATGCATTTTCTGTGCACGTAGAGAACATACTTCTGGCATGTGCGTAATACATCCATATTTACGCACACACATGTAGATGCATGCCCACACAAAGGGCATGATTTGCCATGCATGTAGAGAACATACTTCTGGTATGTGTGTAATAGATCCATATTTACACACACACACACACACACACGTAGATGCATGCCCACACACAAAGAGGGGCGTGCATTTTCCATGCACAAATAAAACGTGCCTCTGGCACATGTGCAATGCATCCATATTTACATACATGTAGATGCATGCCCACACACAAACAAGGGCGTGCATTTTCCGTGCACAAATAAAACGTGCCTCTGGCACATGTGCAATGCATCCATATTTACATACATGTAGATGCATGCCCACACACAAACAAGGGCATGCATTTTCTGTGCATATACAGAACATGCCTCTGACATGTGCAGTTCACCCATATTTACACACACACACAAAGAAAGGCGTGCATTTGCCGTGCACATACAGAACATGTGTGGTGATACAGGCACACACTTTCTTTAAAAAAAAAAAAAAAAAAAAGCAAAGCCGGGACAGAGACTTCATCAATAAAGTGCCTGGCGTCTCTGACAATATTTAAAATCGTAATGGGTGCCTCTGCCATCTGATCTCTGCAAGCGTCTGCCTTTCGGGTCGGGGACGGCAGAGAACGGATCAGTAATTTTAGTTCCTAATGCACTCGCTCTTAAGTAGATTTGTAAACTGCCCTGGACGTGCCATTAACATTTACAGGGAAATGTTAACAAAATTTCTGGCTTGCTCTCTCCCGGGCCTCGGAGCTTGGCTAGCGCCGCCCAGCCAGCCACAAGCCCCTCGAAGAGAGCCACAGAAATCATCCTCCCATCCGCGGCTCCGAGCTCAGCTTGGGTTTTTGTTTTGCTTTTTCTCCCCACAGCAACCCGGGGTCTTTTCTTTCCAGCTTCCGCTGCCTACTATTCAGGCCCCAGGACCCGGCTTAAAATACAAGGACCATAACTTTGAAACAATATACTAGCCTGCCCGAGCTCAAAGGGCCACGAAAATCATATAATCATAAAAAGCTGTTACAAATGGTGTCTCTTAAATCCAGAGGGTCAAACATCTCAAATAAAACTTACTGAAAGAGTGTCTGCCTAATGGAGTGCCTTTTGTACTGCATGAATGAGGGAGCCGAGGCTCGCAAACCGCATGAAGCCCCGTCTGGAGCCGCAACGCAGTCCAGCGGCAACATTTCCTTTCTCCCATCCTGTACCCCGGCGCGGCACTGACTGTTATTAATTGTGAAGATGAGTGGACATCATCTCTCCGCTTCCTCATTTGGCACCCTTCCTTATAGACATCATTGCTAAATTACCAGATTATGTATCTCACATTAACGGATCTGCTCTCTTCCAAATTTTAAATAACTTTCCTGTCAAGTTGCAGCCAGCAAGAGCGCGCCGGGGGGGAGATGGCAAGGGCGGGCGGTTCAGCGCTGCGATCCAGGGCACGCTTGTTTTGCTGCTTTCAGCAAGGCTGAGCGACGCGCACACAAAAAACCCCGGAGGTCAGGAAATTGCATCCGCCGGCAAATTTCAGCCCCCCCCCTTCTTTTTTTTTTTTTTTAGCAGCCGTGTAAAATGTCTCGAAAGACACGTATGTAAATAAATAACCGCTGACACCGAAATAAACCGTCATTAATATGTAAGCGGGGCTGGGAGATCATGGGAAAATATGGTTTTGCGAGGGGGGGCGGGGGAAGAGAGCGTCCCCACCGCCGCCTCCCTGCTCCCTTTCTATTTTTACTTGTGCCATCACCTCATTACGTTAAATGTATTTCATAAATTAGTAATCTGGCCGCAACACTTGACACTCCTGTAGGATATTGTGAATCACTCTGGCCGCTTTATTCGTTTGCAAACTTCATTACGCGGGGAATAAATCAACACATTACAATATCTCACCCAGCCAAATTTAATTTTTTTAAAACTCCTACTTCCTTTTTAGTTCTCTCTCGCCGTCCCCCCCATTAGCAACGTGTACAGATGAGACTGCGGCGCACCAGTCATTATGAAAATCTATAGTTAATACACTCCCAATGTCAAGATGTCAGGGGTTTAAATACAGAACCCAAAATAAGAAAACTAACTGACCTTCTTAATTAAAAAAATATGGATCGCGGGATAATCAGCTTGATGGAACATTTGGGTGACCAGGAGGCAGCGGGGACGGAGAAAGTAACTGCTACTTTTCTGCTTCTATGCTGATTTTTTTTAATTTAGCACCCCGTGCAAATCCAGATTAAAATAACTCCAGCTATTGATCCGAGCAGTGGAATTGACATTAATTTTAGTTCACTTCTCACTTTGCAAAGGGATCAATAGGAAGTAATAACAGCTGACATGCCCGCTGAAAGGAGGAGAAAAGACGGGCTGGAGACAGAAATCGAAAAGCAACCAAATAAATCAGCAGCTACTTTTCCACAGCATCAGACAAACTCCAAACAGATTGCGAAAAGTCTTTGTTGAATTAACTAAACAAGGGGTAGAGGGAGTAGGGGGTGGAGATCAATCTACGAAGCTACGAAAACTGTCTGCCAGGCGCCGAGGCGGAGAGAGACAGACCAAAAACACCGGTTTAAGTTTTGAAATGCACCTTTTGCCGGCTGGATTTTTTTCCTTTTTTAGGGGGACGCCTGGGTGCGGGCGCACACGCACTGCCCGCGCGCCGGCGCGGCTTCGGTGCAACACGCCGAGGCGAACCGACAGCTTACATCTGCAGCATTAAACAGGATTTCTACAGAGCGGTTTCTCTCTCTCCGCCCGAGAACAAGTTGCGGTGGAAACCCCGCGCTGAGTTTTGGTTCCCCGTTTCGGGACGGGAGGGGAGGGGAGGGGACGGGAGGGGAGCGGGCCGTTCCCGGCCCCGGGGCGCTCGGCACCGTGGCAAAAAGGAAAAGGAAAAGGCAGGAGCCGCCGGCACAGCCCGGCAAAGCTTCCCCCGCCGCCGCCGGCACACAACAGGTTGCATTTTCGCGGTCTCCCCGCCTGCCGACAGCGC